GCAAGCTTGAGGGATAAGCTTTAATGTCATTTTTTGTATAGATATTTAAGCTAAGAAATATAATCACGATAGGTAATTGAAAATCATCGTTAAATATATTTTTATTGCTTCGCTTCAATTAAAAATTATAAACTGGACTTTTTCTAAACAAAAACAGGATATGCTTTTACTTACTTCTACTTGCTAAAATTGTTATACAGCGTGTCCCACTAGTGCGAGAAAGTCCAATATCTATGTTAAAATGAGGAATATATGGATTTTTCTTTTTACTATATATATTCAACTATTTAGGGTGTTTCACTTTTCCTGGCCAGACATCATCATTGGTTTTTTAAAAGGAAACACGCATTTTTTATTTTTTTTCGGATTCTACATCAAAAATAAAGAGTACTTTATGTAGAATAGTTCTATTCAATTATTCACAGTTTTTGAGATATCTCGCTTGAAAGGTTTTTCTAGTCGATATTGGCTGCTTACATTTTCTGATACTGACAGGTTATACTAATAGCTACTATGCCCATTTTTTTTGTCAGATGTTTAGTAAGGATGACTCTTCCGAATCATGCTCCAAAAACTGGCCTGCGTTATACAGGGCGACCAAAATATCATGTCAAAATTGCCAATTGAAAAATTGAAAAATCTCCAATTTTTTAAATGGAACACCCTCTATATTTTCATACCATGAGGTGCAGAATTAAATTCTCTACAACTTTGCTATACCTGCTCCTATACCAAAATTCATTAGTTTTTCATGAAATCTCATTTCTGTGAAAAAATGCGAAGTTTACAAATATCTTATATGTAAAATAACGTAGTAGGCTCCTGTCAAAGGATAATCTGGAAAATTTTCGATTCACATAAGGTTTATTAAAAAAGCGACAGTAATAATTGTGTAATGAATTACTCTAAAGAAGAATTAGTAAATTCTACACAAAGTACCCTTTACTTTTGATGTAGAACCCGAAAAAAATATAAAAAATGTGTTTAATTTAAAAACCCAAAGTTGGTGCCTGGCCAGGAAAAGTGGAACACCCTGTATAGTTGAATATATTTTTAATTTGTACATTCCGAGAAATGTGGCAACACAGTAAAAATAAAAATCTATATATTCCTCATTTTAACATAGATATTGGACTTTCCCGCAGTAGTGGGACACGCTGTATATTTATTATGTCGAATTAAAATATAATACGATTCAAAACGAAAAAGAAAAAATGTCTATAATCTGTGTAGTGGATAGAAATATGCAGTTTTATCGATCCATATAAAATATACAAAATGCTTAGATGCCAAATGAGTAAATATCTATTAATGGACAATAATTATGGGTATTTAATTTACTACAATTATGTTTAATGTAATCCTAAGTAATTAGAGTGGCGACCAACAAAGCTCAGGTACGTTTTTCTTTAGAATTTTATTAATTCTAAAACAAACATCAAGGCAAAATTGGCATTTCTTATTAATAAGTTTTTTATTATACCAGCATTCGGCCGACGCATGCACATTTTGTTAAAAATCGGAAACTATCAATTAAAAAAAAGTTTGGTGTTCGCAGAACTAAATTTAAACGTTGGGAAACTTTCTGACCGCTACCTTTGTGGAATAGGTATTAGTACCAAATTATTTTTTTTTACTTCTTGACACTACATACGGAGAAAATTAGAACATATTGTAAAGTTTCCACCACATTTTTAAATTTTTTTGAATTTATAAAAAAAGTATTTGACGGCACAATATATCTGTTACTGTTTGGTTTGATTTTATTTTCCCCGGAAATAACATTCTGAGTAAATCAGGTCAATATTCAAATTACGATTTTTACAAGTTGTTACCTGTTATTGGTAGCAAAAATCAGATTATATGGCCCTTTAATAATAAACCCATTAAGATTTAAATCCTTCTCCTGTGACTTAACATTGGAAATACTCACAGAATGTTCCCGAGTGTATCATAAATTATTCAGAGAATAATTTTTGTTAATAAAAATAAAATTCTTAAAGGATAATTAAGTAGTGCCTACAGATCCTTAAAACACATCAAATTTAATTAGATACCTACTTATTTTTAAACATTCAAAAGCTTAAGACGTCATCCTTAAAAAGATTTCCATAAAATAATTTTTTGTTTATTCGTGATTATTATTTAAGAAAAAAACGGTTATTTTTTTTAATACAAGAACCTACTAAGTAAAAGTATTAATTTATATTAGTCTAATTGATTATATTGTCTGTATATCTGTCTATTTATTTAAAAATAGTGTGCATGCAGATTATATTTTGTTTTAAAACTTAAAATAGTTGCAGTTACATTAACGTTCTTCATGTTTCATCCGATTCGTCTCTTCTACAAACAAGGAAAACTACAATTTAAATAAATAGACGATATTTAATTTGTTTGAACAATGATCTCAACAAATTTTGATTATGTACGTACAAAAATTATCGTTGTTTGTGGAAAGCCAAACAATTTCGAGTCAAAATAATGTTATTTATAAATTGTAGAGCAAATAAAACGCCCTGATTGCGATGAAATCTATAGAAAACGGTGTATGTTTAAAAAATGTTGGGATATGCCTATTACATATTTTTACTAAGGACCAGTGTTCCAACTTATAATAATAACAACATTCTTTAACAATGTTTTACTTAAATTTAAGGCACATGTTTTGCGCACACATATTATCAGACGATGTCTGTAAAATATATAGCACGATAGCAGGTTTTCTTGAAAATTTTCGTAAAATTAAAATATGTATTAAGAAAAATAGGAATAGTTGGAAAACAATAATACACATATTTTGAAGAGCGTCAGACTAAGCATACTATTATTTTTCTTAAGTTCATGTTAACAGAAATTTTAGTATACAAATTGTACATTCAAAACTATTTAATTTTTCTAACGACTTTATAACAGCGCTTTTAATTTTTTCCACAGTAAAAGAGAAACTTTATAAACCAGTTTTAAATGAACGTTTTAAACACTTTAAAAGTTGACTAACTCATTACACACAACAGTTATTAATAAGCGATTAACCGACAATTATAGCAAAAAATAAAGGGAAGTACGTCATTTGTAAATTTGCTTTAGGATTCCTTTAAAAAGCAAATGGTTATTTAATTGGATATTTCTCAAAAACAAGCTGAAAGCATTAAAAACCTAGTAAACAATTCCGCACTAATGACATGGTCCAAAAACGCATTTTTTGCGGTGCGCAGCGGTACTTTTCCTTAACCAATTCTAATAGGGGTAGAAAGGAAGTGGTGGGGGTTTGGTCATTCAGCCCCTGCGTCCAAAACATATGAATACCGTACACCTATTTTGATTCTGTCATAAAACCCCAAGTTTCCCTAAAACACACATCGTGATCCGGCATCGTAAAAACTCCAGTTGAAGGCACACGAGTGGTAAAAGTGGTGTAAATGCCCAGGATATCTTCTAGGACTTTAACTTTTCGGTAAGTACTGACTAATCCTTACGCATACTTTCAATGGGTTGTAAATTTTCCAACAGGGACCTTTGTAAACCGGCCTAAAGAAAGAGTAAAAGGCCATAAAAACTTTAAAATGCAAATTTCTGCAAATTCGAAGTGGTGCTGTTTATAGTCAAATTTCGTAGTAAGAAAGTCAGGTAGAATTTGCATGATTCCTTCTTCGGAAAGGGTTTGTTACAGCTGATTCTTAAACAGCTAAAATATGTATCATTTTTTCATATCAGAAAAAAATGTAAATTATGTTGAATTGCAGTCTACCATAGTTATTCCACATTTTTCCATTCGGTCGTTATCTCAGGCATTTGGCAACACTACACAAAAAAAAAGATTTCTTAAATCAAGAATCATATATTTTGATGCTCATATACCAAATTCTTGAATTAAGAATCTCTTCCACCAATAAAACGTGACGAAATTTCATTTAGCTCAACAAATATATTATTTATGACTCAATAATTTTTTTGTCAAAAGCTATATTTTGTTGTACAGGAATGTTCCTTCAACGTAGTTTCTCATTTTTCTCTTAACCATAAAATAACATAAAATCAGCAACTTATAATTAATTATTGTTGTGAAAATCATTTACTACTTTACATTATTTCCCAGAATATCCAGTTTTTGCATTAAGTATTACTAAAATTAAATCCTCTAGAATCAAGAGCACGCATATCTTTATCTATTTAGAAAAAATGAGAGAACTTTAGGGAAGTAAATTTGTGTTCTCATTATGTTCAATCTGGGATAAAGTAGGAACCGATTTCTGAAACTTGTTTTTCTCTAGCCATATTGTCACACATAAAAATAGACGCTAGGAGCACAATTGCAAAATTTTCTATTTTTACATCCGAAAAAAACAACTAATGACAATGACTAATCTACAGAGCCTTGTTTTTTCCGTAAAATTTTCCAGCGTTTCAAAAGAGCGAATAAAGATCCTCCTGCTGCTTACGTAATACTAAAAAAAATAACCTGAAACAGTACATTCAGTTGGTACTCTAAATTAAACCGAGCAACCTCAATCCGAAGCTGATTTTTTTAGCGCAGCGAATGGGGCAATAAATATCAGCAATAAATTGAAGGCCAATTTCAGACAAAAGTGCAATTAAAAATAAATGAGTTCCCCACTTCCCGGGTATACACAGAAAAAATATTACAGCTTTATATTGCGAACGTTAATGATATCAAAAAGCCGGGGACGATATTAAACTTTAATACATTTTTTATATGGAAACCCCATTAAACCGACCATATACATTTCAATATATCCGTTTTATTAGAGATTTTATTATTCTATTCCTCAAAATAACGATTACTTTTTTAATCTCGCATAAAGCTTTGGCTATATGGGGATAATAATATATCTCGTAAATCGCCCAGCTTTAGAAAGCTCCGGTTGGTAGGGGTAGCGAGTGGGAGGGGTGACTTCGTAGCGGCCGGGGGGTGGGGGATGACCGGCCGTAGCCGTAACTATCCTAGATTGGAATGGTCAGACAGGAACTTAGTTTGAATCAGTACACCAGAGCGATGTGTTGGTCACATGATCGCCTCCATCAGTGAACAGTTTTGTTTATCAGTGTTCCAAATGCCTGTGCTCGTGTGACACTGTTATTGTTATTGGATTATTCGTATGTCACTAGGTACATACTTTTAGTTTTTTTATCGGTTTTTTGTAGTTTTCTGCTAACCTACCTTATCGATTGATAAGGTATCGGCGATAGTTGGACAGTTTTTTTAAATTAAAGTGTATATATTTATGATAAACACTGACGATTTTCTGAAGCCTACACGTTACTTACAGGAATCAGTCGTGCTTTGTGAAATGAGAGGAGGTGTGTCCTACGAAATGAGTTCGACCTGTATGCAAGGTGGCATCCCTCTCCCCTTAGGAGGATATCAGCCCAACATGATGATAAAGCCTTCTTCGCCCGCCCCCGCTTGGCAATTCCATTCCGTCGTACCGGTAAGTATTCCTATTCCTTTTCGTAACTGAAAAACTCGTAAAGTAAGATAAACAATGTCCTAGTTTTTTATGTTCTTTGATTTAAAAATAGACCAAAGGATATTATGTTTCCAGAGCTCCTATTTTTGTGGCATATTTGTGGCACTTTTCTTAAAAACAGAATATAAACAAACATGTTATTTTGATTACTACGTCTATTTTTAATTTAACGTGGCTTCGTGTTACGCAAATCTGTATTTTAATCTTCAAAACAATAGTTGTTACGTAAATATACATTTTTTATATCACTTTTTTATTACCCTTTATCCGCGTTACGTACAGGGCCGCAACGCGAGAGATATTTATATATCAAATAAAATTTTTATTGTTGACCTTTACATAAAATCGTATTTTGTTTACAGAAACAAGAACCAATCGACCACGAGGAGAAAAATGACTCTGGGATCAATTCTGGAAGTGACATCCATTCCTCGTCACCAGGAAGTGACCACAGCGAAAACATTCCGTATTCGTCTCCCTTGAACAGTCAAATTACTCATCCGGTTCACCAATCCAACTACTGCTTAACCCCTATCGCAAGGCCGAATCCACCTTCCGCTATGATGTACCACCAACAACATGTATACAATGATCACAATCCTTTAACACCTCCTTGTTCAGAACCAATGGCTTCGCCAAAAGGTCACGAAAACCAGCACCCTACCACCTCAGCGTCCGAAGAAAAATCCGAGCCTATGGAACAACAACACAATTTGACTCCTTGCGCATCACCTGGTGCTGCAGGTCAATCCCAACCTCAACCATCAGTAGATAATACCCACACAGACAACCCCTTGAGAAGGTTGCAAATGGCCTTAGAGAAAAACGGTTTACTGTCGTCTCCGTTGTCACCAAAACCCAGCGAATACTCTGGCGAGGACGAGAACAAATCCGACAACGACGGGGATGAATACGACGAACAAGAACTAAGAGTACCAAAGGTAAACTCCCACGGCAAAGTCAAGACGTTTAAATGCAAACAGTGTGACTTTGTGGCCATCACGAAATTGGAGTTTTGGGACCACACTAGAAGTCACATCAAAGCCGACAAACTGCTGACTTGCCCCCAGTGCCCATTCGTGACTGAATACAAGCACCACTTAGAGTACCATCTCCGGAACCACTTCGGTTCCAAGCCATTTAAATGTACCCAATGCAAATACTCCTGTGTAAATAAGTCCATGCTTAACTCACATCTAAAGTCGCACTCTAATATATACCAGTACCGGTGCTCCGACTGCAGTTACGCAACCAAGTACTGTCACTCTTTGAAACTTCACCTTCGCAAATATGCACATAAACCCGCTATGGTGCTCAATCCAGATGGTACGCCTAATCCCCTACCCATAATAGACGTTTACGGAACTCGCAGAGGTCCAAAGGTGAAAAACCAAGATCAGAAATCTGTAGACGAACCGCCTATACCAGAGCAAGTCCTGCCTTTCCCTCTGAACCAAATCATGTTCAACCCCCCTCAGATGCAGTTGCCTTTCTCGGGATTTCCCTTCTTTCCTGGTTTTTCTGGGGCTTTGCCCAACCCCTTACTTCTCCACAACCTAGAGAAGATTGCGAAAGGACAAGCAGGTTTCCTGCCACCCCAGGAGCACGCAGAAGAATCCTCGGGATCCTCCCAACCCGATACTGAGGTCCTAGATCTTAGTAAACCTGAAGAGACCGTTCAGAAAAACCGTCGCAAGGGGCGCGCTTTCAAGCTGACCCCAACTCACGATAACTCTTCTGATGAGGAAGAGGAGACCACCATGTTCAGCAACGTGGAAGTGGTGGAGGAAAGAGAGCAGACTTCGAGAGGGGAAGCTGCTGAAGCGAAACCAGAAGAGGAGGTTTCGAATAATAACAACCACAAAGAAGACTTCACTTGCCAGTACTGCAGCATCAATTTCGGAGACGCGGTTCTCTACACCATGCACATGGGCTACCACGGTTATAAGAACCCGTTCACGTGCAACATGTGTGGAGAGGAATGCAAAGACAAAGTATCCTTCTTCTTGCACATCGCCCGCACCCCCCATTCCTAGATTGTCTTCTCCAAGACTGACTGTACATTCAGAAGAGCCTATGTTCTTATATTTTATAAAGACGGTTTTTAGTATATGTTTTTAATGTCTAGTCAACGTCAGTTATGTACGCAACTGTGCAATTTACTTTCTAGTTATGTTTGCGGAGACGTTACGGGTTCCAGGACCATCCACCTCAACCATGACTTTTGTATATTTTTTGGTACTTTTCTACTGTGTATGTATTTATTAACTTATTTGTAGGTTGTTTAATACAGCTAATGTTCCAAATGATAGCGGGGTTCTGAACGTGAATTCCTGTAAAAAAAAATAATTGAGAAGTTAGGTCGTAAGGAAATCGATATTTTTAAAATTTATTTATTACCAATTTTATGCCATATTTTTTGTAAAATGTATTATATAACGGGGCCACATCCTAAGACTGATCTGTAAATATCGGTGTTTTAGTATTAACTGAGCAAACAATCAAAAACGTGTATTATAAATGTGGGTATTATAGTTTAATAGTGCTACAACCAAATAATAAATGCATTTGTACAATATTCTATTGTGTGTCATTTGACTGAGGACGAACTCCTTTTCCTTTTGTGTTGCAGAAAATGGCAACGTTTTGATGGGCAGGAATTCCCAGAAATATTTTCTATTTTGCCTGAACATGAGAAAAAGTTCTGCTCTCTGTATTTCTTACAAAATTAAGAATAATAATTGATTTTTTTTTCTTTTTTAATCTGGATTAGATCAGAATGTAACAATCAAGGTTTCGTCACTTTTATTACATTTTCAATTCTAAGATTAAATCACATTTTTTGTTTTACAATATAAATTTTAAAATACAGTATACAGGGTGATTCACAAATGGTAACCAAAAATTAAACCTCGTATTATTTGGTGAATTTTAAGGGGTTTTTCCTAGAAAATTTTTGTCTATCTAGGACGCTTCGTTGAAAAGATACAGGGTGTTAAACCTCAAAAAATATTTTTAATTTTTTTTTAATAATTTAAAAACTAGGAAGTGAAATAATTTGAAATTGGACACATGTATTTTAGGGTGGCCCAAAAAAACAACGAATATTTTTTTTCGTGTTTCTTGTGAAAATATGTTAGTTTATCATGTTTTAAGAGCCCTCTAAAAAATCAAGGCAAAAAAAATTTTTTTACAAGTCGCTCATAATTTTTAAAAATTTCCAAAATCGTCGACAATTGAATTTTTTTTTACTTTTTTTTTCTCGTTATTTTATCATTTTCTAGGCTGGAAAAAATCTCAGTTCTGAAAATTTCAAATCGATATTTCAATTTCTAAAGGTCACTCATAATTATTTTAACTTTAAAAGTAGTGTATCTACCTATATTTTCGAGCGACCTCTAAAAATAAATATCAACGAACTAATAATTTTTTTTATTGAATTTGATGAACAAAAGAATAGAAATAGATCACGAGACACTTAAAAAATTTCTCGAGGCAAAATTTACTACCGCACTGAGTATCAAATATTTATAATTTTTTAATTTTTTAAAATTTAAGTAAAGTTTAGAGGTCGCTCGGAAACACTACTTTGAAAGTTAAAATAATTATGAAGTGACCTTTAGAAATTAAACTCGATTTGAAATTTTCAGAATCGAGATTTTTTCAACCTAGAAAATGATAAAATAACGAAAAAAAAAATTAAAAAAAAAATCAATTTTTGACGATTTAGGAAATTTTAAAAAATCTTGAGCGACCTCTAAAAAAATTTTTTTGAGGAGGCTCTTAGGACATGATAAACTAACATTTTCACAAGAGTCACGAAAAAAAAATTCGTTTTTTTTAAGCCACCCTAATGTATTTATGTAATCATTGTCCAAAATCTGAGGGCTTTTCATAAAATTTACATCCAGTGGCGAAGATACAGGGTATTTTCTAAATAAAATAGTACGCTATTGCTTTGCGATAACAACCATGATATTTTCGGATTCGTCTTTCAATTTTCTACAAACTACTAAGTATTCTTTTATGTTTTTAGAAAAAAGTCGGATTTTCGAGTAAAACTTAATAAACTAACTGAAAACATTTGACAAACACTAAACATTCAGTTATTTATTCATATAAAGAAATTAATAAAATTAGTCATCATTTTAATGATTTTATTTGAGTAAATGCTCAACGAAAATGTATTTTGTTCGAAATTTATTGTTACTTGGATCTGATGAAAAGCATTATTTATTATTTCTTCTAACTTCTCAGAATGTCAAAGTTACTATTGCAGACCACTAGGTAATTTTAAAAAGCGTTATATTCACCAAAGAATACGGGGTCATTTTTGGCCACCATTTGTGGATCACCCTGTATAACTGACATTATTTATTATTTTTTTTTAAGAACTGCTAAATCAGTCAAGTTATATTCAATAAAAACAATAAACAAATAAAAAATTAACCACACCTATTAGTAATGCAATAAAAATTTATTTTATTTGTAAAATGCGGACAACTAACTGGGTTTATTTTAATACGTCTATATGTTGGGTCTTATAAGTAAAAAAAAATTAATTGCATAGACTTATACATATAAAATTGAGGATATTAATATTTTCTAATGGAAAAACTAAGTAAAATAGTAAACCTCGTATACATTTAAATTATTCTTGAACACAAAATAAAGTTCTTATTTTCGACACCATTTTTTATAANTCAGTCAAGTTATATTCAATAAAAACAATAAAAAACAAATAAAAAATTAACCACACCAATAATGCAATAAAAATTATCATTTATAAAATGTGGACAACTAACTGGGTATATTTTAATACGTCTATATGTTGCGTCTTATAAATAAAAAAATAATAATTGCATAGACTTATACATATAAAATTGAGGATATTAATATTTTCTAATGGAAAAACTAAGTAAAATAGTAAACCTCGTATACACCATTTAATTTATTCTTGAACATAAAATAAATTTTGCACCAAATTTGTTCTTATTTTCTACACCATTTTTTATAACGACCTTATTAGTTCCTGATTCAACTTGTTTTTAGGAATTATGATGGCTTTCTTGCGTACTAAAAAACACGTTACTTTAGTGATGGATGTTTTCGCTCGAATTATGGTACGAGGAAAGTTGCAAAATTGTCAGGAATCGCTTTTTCAACATAATGAACTGAAACTTTATATTCGGGCAAATTTTTTAGAGGGAAATAACTTTTCTTTAAAACATTTTTCCCTGGGGTTGAAAATAAAGGTAGAGCTCTTGAGCCGATTTGCAGTTTTCGCCTGCCCCTCGTATATAACAAACGTTTTATGAACTTCGATGGGCGCTATTTTGATTTGACGACATACATAGACAATTGAATCGAAGGAATTTATTAAATTTATACATAACGTTTTTTTCCCTATGGTGCAAACTTTTTGGATAGCGCTGGACGTATATATTAATTTAACAGTAACTTATTGTTAAATTAATTATTGTAATAAGCAGTATTTTTCACGAAATTTTGGTACAAATCACATTAAGGAGTGCAAAATCCAGTGCCGTAGTGCTATTTTAAATAAAATATTCGCTAACCAATTTTATTGTTAAATTTGTCATTGGAAAAAAAATAAAAAGTAGGCTTTTTTTATTGATAATAAATTGTATTGTTATGTGATGTTTTTAAGCTTTATCTTAAAAAAAAAAACAAATTAAATGGTTCTTCTATAAAAGTGTCCATAAAATACAAAAATAATTTTGATTTTAATTTAATTTAAATACCAAATTGTAATAAGACGTGAAGAAATATATAAAAATTCTAAACATGGTCAAATAGGTACCTCGCGTATGTTCCAAAATTAAACTTTTTTAATATATTTGGCCTTAATTACCAAATTACAAAATACCTTGTTTAGGTGGTAATATGGTTTACAGGATGTTGATTAAGTACTTCGAAAAATTTTAAAGGGTGATTCTTTGAGTGAATTTGAATCAAAAAGTTTATGTGAACCTAGGTCTACACATCAGCAGTTTTCAAGACAGTGAAATTTAAAAAAAAATCACCGTTTCTAAAATCTATTAGTATATCTAATTAATAATTCATATTACCACCTCAGCAAAATACAAAATTTCTACGTTATTGATTTTTAGGACTTATTATTAGTTTATATTTAAAATTGTACCTACTCTAGCAAAAATAATATTTTTTTTTATAATTGGTTCTAGAATTATTTTACATTTTTGTAGTGTTTGGTGACGTTAATGAAAATTAAAAAGTAATAAATCGAAAATGATTCGTTTTTCGAATAAAATGAGATTTTTTTCTTGGATTAAAAACACTACAAGATCCATCAAATTTTCAAAATATCCATTGACGTCAAATTTCTGAGGTTTTCAATGAAAACGAGTCCCAGTATCTGCGAAACTAGTGCTATTTCTATCCGAATATTGTGAATTTTTACCTTTAATTAAATAATTCATTAGCTTATGTTTCATCATTCCAACGTCTTCATGGATATTTTGGACAAGGTGATTTTATTAATTCAATACCCTTATCTCTAAAACTATTGTTTTGTGGGTCCATGTTTATATAACTTCTTTGGCTTAAATTCACTCAAAGAATATTCGCTTAAAGTTTGTCGACGTACTTAGATAACACCCTGTATATTGGCCAAACAAATACATACCTACTTATTTAAAAAAGAAAAATATATTATCATGTATTTTTAAATCTACAAAGTAAAACAGCTCTAATACAGCACGATCAAAATTTGTTAAATAATTTCAAGTTTAATGAAACTGTTACAAAAATATAAAAAAAATGCTTTTACAAAAGATGGTCGATATTAAGATAGGAAGGAATATGTATCTAAGAAATAATTATTTTAATGTATTTGTGATTGTTTTTAACTCCTTTGTATCTTGTTTGAACTGACTCCCTCGCCACCTATTATAAACTGAAAATCAGTGTTCGTCGTTGAATTTGAAAGGATTAACACTGTCATTGTTACATCTAAATGCCCTTATGTACAATTAATTTTTTTTTACTTCATTCAATACAGGTATTATATCGCATTTTAGAGATAGTAATTTTTTTTAATAATATGTATTTTTTATAATTTAATATTCTTTGTTATATTTAATTATTGTTTTTATTGTGCTTGTATTTATTGATTTTGTAAACATGAAGGGTAACAGTGTTTTTTGTCATACTTTCTGACATAATCCAAATCAAAAAAGAAAAAAGTAACAGTCGGAGTTACAAAATAAATATTTAAAAAAATAATTAAGCATATGAAAACTAATAACTTAAAAAATATATAATTATTCTGTTGACCTTCTATTTTTCTATAAATATTAGCTTTACGCTATTCTGATCTATTTAGGTAACGTACTATTCTTTTCCATAAGTGAGCATGATTTTTGCTTCATTTATTACTATGAATTTACATTTTCAGAAACGCTTAGCATGAGTTCAATTTGACAGGAATTGTTCATTTTGCACAGGAGGTTGTTAATTTAACGTTTCGTCCACAATTTTTTTTATTAACTTCTATTTCAAACGAGACCGATCGCAAGTCAAGTCCCATCCATT